CCTTAAGTCTCTTCTAAGATCATAGAATTTATCCTTTGGTAGAGGCTTAGTAAATATATCTGCTAATTGACGTTTAGTGTCTACATACTCTATCTTACAGTTTCCTTTGCTGATATGATCTCTTAAAAAGTGATGTCTAATCTCAATATGTTTAGTCCTAGAGTGCATTACTGGATTCTTAGTTAGATTAATTGCACTCGTATTATCACACATTAAGGGTATGTCATTTAAATTAGTTCTTGCAAGTTCCTCTAATGACCTATTTTTCCTCTCAACTACACCATTTTGTTGGGGAGTCCTAGGAGCAGAAAAGTTATGTAATATACCATTTTCCTCACAATAATTCTCAAACTTTTCATTTTGAAACTCACCACCATGGTCACTTCTTAAAACTTTAATTCTTAGGTCTTTCTCATTTTGAATTTGTTTAGCAAACTTTCTAAAGACCTTAAAAGCTTCACTTTTCGTAGTTAAGAAAAATGTACAAGTGTATCTAGAGTAATCATCAACAATTACAAGTCCATAATAATTTCCACCAAAGTTTTTTATCCTAGAAGGTCCAAATAAATCTAAGTGTAATAATTCTAGGGGTTTTGAAGTGGAAATCACATTCTTTGATTTAAATGATGATTTTACTTGTTTACCTTTTTGGCATGCATCACACAATCTATCTTTTTCAAATTTTAACTTAGGCAATTCAATAACTAAGTCTTTTGATATCAATTTATTCAAGTGATGCATATTTATATGAGTCGCTCTTTTATGCCATAACCAAGGGTTCTCTTCCTTAGCAACTAAACATGTTATACTAGACTCATGTAAACAATCCAAATCAATCAAATATATGTTGTTATGCCTAATGCCTTTTAATTCTACTTTTTTGGAATCTACTAAATGTATGGTGCAAAATTTGCTTTCAAAAGTTACCTTGAATCCTTTGTCACACAATTGGCTTATGCTAAGAAGGTTATGCTTTAATCCATCAACAAGAAGCACATCCTTAATCTCCAATGTGTTTGCACCACCTATGTTTCCAATTCTGAGAATCTTCCCTTTGTTGTTATCCCCATAAGTCACATATCCTTGTTCTTTGGCTTTGAAACTTACAAATTTCGTTTTATCTCCAGTCATATGTTTTGAGCATCCACTATCAAGATACCACATAGACTTCTTTGATTTGGAAATTTCCTACAAAACAAGAACATAGTAAACTTAGGTCCCCATAACTTTTGGGTCCTTGGGCTTAGAGACATAACAATCTATTTAAATACTGCAAAACTTTCTCATAAAACTTTTCAAGTTATTTTAACTGATAAAAAATAAGTTTTAATCGATTAAAACGCTGTGTAGAAAATTTCTAAGTTGTTTTAATCGATTGAAACGAGATTTAATCGATTAAAAGAGTTCTGATCGGTCATAACTAAATTCTGATCGATCATAACTGATTCTGATCGGTCATAATTGGATTCTGATCGATCATCCTGACCCTTTAAGTGATTTTAATCGATTGAAACGTGTTTTAATCGATTGAAAAAGTTCTGATCGCTTATAATTAAAATCTGATCGATCACATTTGATTCTGATCGGTCATAATTGGATTCTGATCGATCATCTTGACCCTTTAAGTGATTTTAATCGATTGAAACGTGTTTTAATCGATTGAAAAAAAATTCGGACCGCTCATAATTAAAATCTGATCGATCACATTTGATTCTGATCGGTCATATTTGTATTCTGATCGATCATAATGAGTTCTAAATGGTTTTAATCGATTAAAAACAAGTTGTATCGATTAAAATACTGTAAAAACACTTCTTTGAACATTCTAAGTGATTTTTATCGGTTCTTTCAAAACTATATCAGTTAAAAACATGTTTAAGAAAGCTTTTGTAAAAATACTTTGTTTTTAGTTGTTTAAAACGATTTTAGAGGCATTTCGCAAAATCTTTAAGTGAAGAACCTTCATGCAGTAGAAAAGATAAAATGATTTTACCTAAGCATTCTGTTTAAAACATACTAAATGATCCATTTTCTTTGAATAAATAAAAGAGACAAATAATTCATTTAACTATAGGAACCCAAATATATTTTCCTTTAGGAACACCAAAATGTTTAATTTTACACTTATTTGAAGTGTGACCTTGTTTCATACAATAGAAGCATGCATTTGAGGTAGTTTTAGAACAAGATACATTATTAACATGACATGTTCTAGTTCCTTTTTCTACCCATACTCTTTTCTTTTTAGTTTTACTCTTTTTCAAAGGAACTCTTTGATTTACATTATTTTGAGCAATTACCATTTCATGCTTCTTAAGATCATCAATTTCTTTTTCGGCTTTGTTAAGCAAATGGTTAAGAATATCTATGTCATATTCATGCTCTTTACAATTTGCACAAGCTAAGTCCTTATTCTCATCTAAGCATACAATTTTCGTATTAGCTACCTCATTTTCTTCTAAACATGCAATTTTCAATTTTAAGGACTCATTTTCCTTTTTGGATCTTCTTAGATTTTTCTTTACAACTTTAAATTCGTTTTTCATATTCATAAATGCAGTAAATAACTCATTATAAGCATTTTGCAATTCATCATGGTCATTTTCTTCACTAGAGGATGAATCGGAATCACTAACCTCAAAATCCGAAGAAATGTTGTCATTTGCCATTAAGCAAATGTTTGCTTCTATTTCCGAGTCGCTTGATTCTGAATTTGAATCACTGTCATCCCAAGCAATATATGCTTTCTTCTTGAATTGCTTTTTGCCCTTGTGTTCATCATTTTTCTTGTTTGGGCATTCGGTCTTCATATGCCCTGTTTCACCACAACCATAGCATTTTATATTAACGGAAGAATTTTCTTTTACCTTTCCCTTACCTTTGAAAGGATGTCTTCCTTTTGCTTTCATCAATTTGGTGAACTTCTTTATAAAAAGACTCATCTCTTCTTCATCATTTTCGGAGTCTTCTTCTTCTTCTTTCTTATTTTTGCTTTTTGAAATCTCGGTCTTGAAAGCTAGATTCTTCTTTTGGTATTGACCCTCTTCCTCATTTAGTATTCCAAGGTCAAGTTCATGCTCTCTAAGCTTTCCAAATAACGCCGCCATAGACATAGTGGCAAGATTTTGTGACTCCGAGATGGTCGTCACCTTAGGTTGTCATTTCCTATCCAAATATTTCAAAATTTTAACATTTAATTCATCAACGTCAAATACTTTACCTAATCCGGTGAGATGATTCACAATATGAGTGAAACGCTTTTGTACGTCAAATATCGTTTCACCAGGTTGCATCCGGAACATTTCGTACTCTTGGATTAGAGAATTTTTACGCGCTCTTTTGACGTCGTCAGTTCCTTCGTGGGTCACTATAAGCATTTCCCACATTTCCTGTGTACTTTTACAAACAGAAATTCTGTAGAACTCATCAAGGGTTAGAGCAGATGAAATAATATTTCTAGCCCTAACATCAAATTGTGCTTTTCGACTTTCTTCTACAGACCATCTAGAAAAAGGTTTAGGAACGTCAACACCGTTCTCAGTAATTTTACGAACAAATGGACCGTTTAAAATTGCGTCCCAAACGCCTCTATCAACAGACTCTAAAAATATTTGCATACGTACTTTCCAAAAAGGATAATTTTGACCCGCAAAAAGTGGGGGTCTGTTGATAGATGCACCTTCGGCAAAAGTTTGATTTTGTCCGGCCATTTTCGAAAATTTGAATGACTATCAAAGCAAGCTCTGATACCACTTGTTAGAATCGCGCAGCGGAATGTTCGCGTGGTCGGATAAAAACCAAGAGGGGGGGTGAATTGGTTTCTTAATAAAAATTAGGTTTTCAAAATTTTCCCCAAATTTTACCGATTAAAAACTGTGTAAATGTAAATAGATAAAGGATAGAAATCTTACACAGGAGATTTATACTGGTTCGGATCAAAAGACCCTACGTCCAGTTGCTAATCACTCAACAGAGGATTAACGTTGTCACTATAAACAAATTGTTACAATACAAATTACAATGGAAGAGATAAAGTAAAAGATAACACCTCTCTTGAAACCCACAAGAGATGAAGAACAGCTTTCCCCAGAGACGGCACAGCACACAATCCAGCACACAATCCACTAAGAACTCCACTTAGTGATTCTTATCGCTTCTAGCCCACACCAGGTTCAGAAAGCCCCCTTTCCTTGCAACAAACAGTTCTCTGGCACTCACAGCACTTAACTTTTGTATGGAAAAGGTTGTTCTATTTTTCGAGTGCCAAAGCGAGTTTAAGTAGGGAAATTAGGGTTTAGGAATTGGGTATTTCGAAACTATGGTTCTTGGTAATTGGATTTTCGAAAATAGGGTTTGTTTGATGTTTAAAATTAGAAACAGACTGAAATAATCGATTATTTGGAGTAATAATCGATTAAAACAGAGCCAAATACGTCAGAACTCAATCCTCTCTGGTTTAATCGATTATTTGATGAAATAATCGATTATCTCGTATCTGAATCGTATCTGAATAATCGATTATTTTGTCGTTTAATCGATTAAAGCAATGAGTTTTAGACAGAAAATGGTTTTCTCACTGCTTTAATCGATTATATACTTATTTAATCGATTAAAGCCGAGCCTGAATGATAAATTTGAGCATTTTGAAGCATCTAAGTTACGGACTATGTACCTGGCTATCTTAGACTCTAAAATTACAGACTCAATCAAGCTAAAACAGAGTTATTACAATACAGAAATCATCAATCTTCAATCTTCAATACTCTAAGTCTTTAAGCTCTTGGATCATCATCAAAATCAACATTCTTCATGATCATTATTTGCAACATCAAGTCCTTGAATGTTCAACACATAGGACATGTTGGAATAATTACTATGGAAACAAAAGATTCTAGGATGAATTGTTACATGTATCAAACTATGTGTTAAAGGCAAAAGGCCTACCATTATAGCACCTGATACAAACATGGACATGCTCTACACAAATGCTGAGTAATCAATCAATTTTCCAAATCAAGTTTTGCCTTATGCAGTGCTTCCTGAGTTGCAATTTGCATTGCTTGTCTTTCCTCACTTTGTTTTCTTGACACTTCTACTTGCTCAGCTCTTTCCTTCAGCTTTATATCAGTCTCCAATATAGTCCTTTCCAAATCACCAAGGCAAGTTTCTACCTTCAAGGTCTCCAACTCACAAAATTTTAATTGATTTTGTTTTTCATTAAGCATGGCCTTCAGATTAGAGACCTGTTCACAAAGCAACTGCCTATGCCGTTTTGATGTTTCAAGCAAAGCTTTGGTCTTGACATGTTCGTGTTGGAGTTGAGCAAACCTCCTTTTCTCCTCCTCAAAGAGTTTGATGAGATCCTCCATAGTAAGGGAATTTTCCATGGATTTATCTATTTCTGCAAATGATGATGCAAAATTTATATAGTCCAAGACATGATCAGAAAACTGTTTATAGTCAATCCCTAAAACATTTAATATTTCAAAAGTGGTCTCTGCTGCCTCTTTCATGGACTCATGCTCATGAGGAGCCAAGGTCTCTAGAGCATCAAGAAGAAGTCGTTGCTGTGTAAACAAAATCACTTCTCTATGGCTTGATGCCTTTGACTTTCGTTCACCATCTTGTAGTTTACTGGAACTAGCAACATGTCCTGAAACGTCAGTACGGCAACCAGTTGAAAGTTGGGTATGTTGATGACCAACACTTTTGATAGCAAGCTTGTTGCAAGGACCATCAGGAACATTCGTCTGTTTACCGACAATGATTGGATTATAGGATGGGAAAATGCCTGTAAAGATGGGAACAATCAACTAGCATAATAATCCTAAATCAAAGTGGACACATAACACATAAAACTAAATTAGTCATACAGCAGAAAAATGGCTTAGGCGTGGGGAGTTTCAAACTTTGAGTTGGATAGAAAAGAAGACGGCCAAGCCAACCCATTGGACAAGTACCTGCTATAAGATCAAGGGAATTTCACACAGGTTTTCTTTCTCACATAAAGTTTTAAAACTGAAAATGCATAAACTACTTTTAAACTTGACACATTCCATTTTCTTAGGTTCAACTTAAATAGATTGCAACTTGACACAGTAAAAAAAGATGTCTTCACTGGATGTAGCACCATTACTTTTTAATGACTGTGATTGAATTTGTATAGAATCATGTAAAAATAATCAAAATAATGCAACTTTGCTGGGGAGAAAGAAAGAAAATATTACCCAATGAAGAATCAGAGAAAATGCGCCTCTCAAACATAATTTGTCGCCAACGGATCCTTAAAGGTGTTGATAGACGAGATAATGAGAGAACTGCATCTGCCTTATTAGTCTCACATGATACCGAATTTGTAAGCTCGAAATCAGCATCATCAACCACCAAATCTGGAAAATCATCGCGTTTCGAATTTGCTACAGTTAATGCTGCACCTGCATCTTCTTTGTCTGGAATCTCGAGCACAGCCGAGGGATCCTCAGAAGAGACCGTAGTTCTCCTCCTTTTACTGAGTTCACTACCCAGCTCATCATCTTTTTTGCATCCCTCCCAAAACTCATGAAGAGTCATTTGCCTGCTTTGCTGGGTAGGAACAATGCTTTTGCTGTCAAGCAATTTAATTTCATCCTCCCACACACGATATCCACAAGATCCATGACCCTATTTAACAATAATTAGTTCCATGATCCATGAAACCGAATATGCAACCAAATATTCAAAATTATCCCTCTTTTGGTAACAGTAACGCCCATATACACAAAAAGAACCATAACAGCAATTAGAAAATGAAGGTGACGTGCCATACCTCTTTAATAGGGCAAGTAAAATAGTACTTAAAAGCACCATCTACCTCTGTACCCTTAACCCTTCTACACACTCCAGCCTTACATGCACACTCAGGATACTTGATCAGTGGAGGCTGCAAATCTAACTCAGAAACAGGATCATCGCACCACTTTACAAAATTCGTACATTTTACCCCCTTAAACATAACCACCACCGTCGTAGTTAAAACCATAATCAGAAAAGAAATATAGAAATTTGCAAGTGTTTGAAGCATACATTTTTTATGGGGCAGGCATAGAAGTTCCTTCCACAACGTGCGGGTTTGATTTCGCAGGGGCCATGGCCACAACGGCACTGTATAGTGTTGGAAGAAACTGGGGAACCCTGATTGGGAGAGGGTGAAACGCGATTTAGATTGGGGGATTTGGAGGGACAGTACCAAGACCAGTGTCCACTTTGGCGACAATTGTAGCATATACTTTGCTCCATTTGTTTAACAAGATTCGGAGGACAGTTTGGGGGAATTATAGGAGATTTCTGAGGACTCTTAACTTGAGACTTTGAAGGTGAATGCGACCAAGACATGGTTTTACTTATTCTTTCTGAAACACAATCAAATAAGTGAAAGATGAAGGAAAAAGAGGAGATTTTGAAGAGGGAAGATGATGCTTGAGCGTTGGTGGTGGTGTCTTATCGCATACAAACATAAGCCAGTTATATAGATTCTACCACTTGAATATTCATATGGGTAAATTTTAACATTTTTTATGAATTTTATTGTAAACTTTTAATTTCCTAAATTTTTTATCTAAATTTTTAAATTATATATATATATATATATATATTTTTTTTTTTTAATTTTCTATAAGATGATTGTTAAATTAATAATAATGTGATGACCTTGATTTTTTATAATTTTTCAAATTTTATAATTGAACTTTTTAACTTTATTAATTTTACTTGCTTAACTTTTAAAATTATACACATTTGTTTTTTTTTTCATAGATTAGATGTGAATTTACTAATGTAATAATATGACCAAAATCAAGTAAGGTTAAAGAAAGAAGAAAAAAAATATAAAAAAACAAAACTTATCTACAAAATATATTAAAATAATAGTTTATTAACCTTCTGTTATTCGTGTGATAATTTTTTAATAATTATTAGATGGTAAATAATTTGTATATGATTAATTAAAAAAATAAATTCGTTATTTAAAGTAATTTTAGATCAAACTAATATCATTGCATCTTTTTGTGTAATGAATAATAAAATATGAAATTTAAAATTAATATATATTTTATATTCGATTAGTAATCTTATCATAATAATAATAATAATAATAATAATAATATTATTATTATTATTATTATTAGTTCCACAGTTAATATATAATTTTAAAATTGAAAACATTAAAGTTCACAAACTAAAAATTTAGTGATAAAATTAGGAAATAAAATGTGACAGATTAGAAATAAAATATACAATTAAATCTATTACGTTTGAAGGATGTTGTGAAAAGGTACGGTAAATATAGCCACGTATTGCATGTTGGAAAACTAAGTTTAAAACGTGGTTTAAAATATGAGCCGCAAGATTTCGATCCAATGACTTCAATTCGGTCATTGTATACAAAAAGTAGTTTGTGGCACGGCAGAAGAAATAGAGCAACGGGTGACTCACTTTTCCATGATTTGGGTTTCACATATTTTTAGGTGACTGGTGTAAATTTTTTAAAATTATTCAAAATTAAGAAAAAAGTTATAAACATATTCAAAATCCCACTTTCAATAAAAATAAATAAAAATCATGTTTTGAAATATAATTTTATAAGATTTTTAATTTAATTTAGTTTAATATAAAAGCATACTTTAAATATTATTTTCATATTTTTAATTTTTTTTTATAATTTTTTTAAAATATGTCTTAATGAAACCTAACGTTACACTCTTAATAGACATAAATGTATTGAATAATTGAATTATTAAAATTGTTTAATCATTAACTTAATATTAGAATAAAATCAAAATAACATGATGACAAATATAATGTTTCTAAGAAAGAGGATAATGAGTAAATTAAAATTTTAATAAAATAAATTTTATCTTTCTATTCAAATGTTTTATATATGTTATAAACAAGTAATTAATCAAAGATTATATATGTTATAAACAAGTAATTAATCAAAGAAAAAATGATTAGAACGAAAAGGTGTTATGTTATTTGTATATAGAATATTTGGAGGGAAAGAAATTTAAATATGAACATGTTTGATTGTTATTAAGAGATAAACTAAAATGACATTTGTGGATGATATTTTGGAAGGAGGAAGACTTTATATTTTAAGTTTATATTCATATTTTCTAACCCAAAAACACCACCATTTCAGTTAATTATTATAATGTTTTAAATTAATGTAAAAGATAAACATTATCTTATCTTAAGAGATAAACTTTATCAAAATTATAATTATTATATTTATGATTATGTAATTAAATAAATAAAAAGAAAAAAAATTCTATAAAAAGGGAAGGGGGAAGACCCGTTGGGAGAAAGAGAAGTAGGAGAGAGAAATAGAAAGAGAAAGGGAGAAAGAGAAAGAAGGAGAGAGAAATAGAAAGAGAAAGGGAGAAAGAGAAAAAAAAAGAGAGGGAGAAAGAGAAGAAGAGAAAAAAAAAATTGTTTCTCTAAAATTTTGATACTTCATCCGTAGTTCTTAAGATAGGGGATGAAAATATTATTATTAAATCTATTTTATTTTGCTTATAGTTGTGGAGTGAGGTGCCCCTAACCTCATTCTATTTATTTAGTTATTTGTTTATTTATCTTTAACTATGTAATGGTCCTGTTTGTTTATTTTATTTTATCTCCAATCTTGCACTGGTCATATTTTAATTATCTCCAGTTATGTACTGGTCCTTTTTGTTTATTTTATTTTATCTCCAGCCTTGCACTGATCCTATTTTAATTATCTCCATATGTATTGGTCCTGTTTGTTTATTTTATTTTATCTCCAGTCTTGTACTGGTCCTATTTTAATTATCTTCAATTATATACTGATCTTATTTGTTTACTTTATTTTATCTTTAGTAATGCAGCGATCCTAATTATTAATTTATAGTTATATTATTCAATCATAATAATATTTATTTGTGAAGATTTGATAATATTGTAGATGGAAGTTGAACCTTGGGGATTTAAATGAGTAAATATCACTATGAGAGTGATTAATATTGGGCTCATTTATCCTGACTAGTCCCTACAAATTTAATTTTAAATCTTCATAAAATAGAATGTGTTGAGGAAGTTGAAACATATATATCTATATAAGATTGTATTATTGTAAATGATAAATGTTCTCACTCCCTATTATGATTTTTTGTGCATGTTTTATTTAAACACCAACTAAAGTAGATGGAGGCGCCAAATATTCCAAATCCCTTTTCTGCAAGCATCACTGCCTTCTTCCGAGGAACTACTTGGAACATGAACGTTATAGACAACTCATTTACTTTTAGAGGGACAGGATTATCAATAATAACATTTGTATCTGATATGGGAAATCTCATTACGTTAGATGGATTAGTAGTGGTTACCTTTTGTATGTCTCCTACCTTTTTCTAAAACCCCTTAATCAGTTTGTTTTCACCTAGCAATATAGATATTTGTAAAATTGTAGAAAAAATAGAAGGAATCAAAAAATAAAACTCCTTCTTCTTTTGTATATCTTATATATATATATATATATAGTGATGTAAATTACTTTTACATATATATAATATTTTTTTTACCTGCTATTCTTATACAAATAATAATAAGAAAAAAAAATGTCACAATTATGACACAACATAATCAATATCTCACCCTATAGGACAAAAGACAATAAAAAAAGGACTAAAGGAAAACTCATATTAATTTATCTCCCATAGAAAATGCGATAAAGAAAAAAAAACTCAAAGTTTGATAAATTAAGTTTGTTAAAGAAGTCATAAGAAATGCATTGTGAAAACTAATCGTTATATATATATATATATATATATATATATATATATATATATATATATATATATATAATATCTCACATCTTTTTTAATATTATAATATTATTTTATGACTTCAAATACTTGAATTTTAATTAACCATATGATGAATTGACATTAGTTTAGACACATTGTTAGATTAAATCATAAATGAAAAACTAAAAAACAATAATAATAAAGAAAAAAGGTAGTTAATTGAAATCGTGAAGAAGTGTATCAATATTGAAAAAGGTTTTATATGCGAAAGGATGTTTATGTAAGAATTTGTGGAAGTCCTTGACAATCGTGATGATTGCTTCACAATAAGGTTAGATGAAATACAAAGAGGTCTACCACTTTTGCAAAGATACATTGTTGTTGTTCGCATAATGACTTATGGTTCACTTGTTAATATTGTATATGAATATATTCAAATTGGTGAAAACACAATAATAGAATGCTTACATTATTTTCTATCAGGCCTTAGTATAGTTTTTGGAGATAAGTACTTCAGGAGTCATAAAAAAAAACAAAGACAATGACTGACTATTACAAATGGGGAGTGATACGTAGATTTGCAAGTATGTTATGATTAATTGATTGCATGTACGGGGAATGAAAAAAAAAATTAACTCTATGGAAAAGTCAATTTTATTAAGGTGATCATGTTAAGGCAACAATCATTCTCGAAACAATAATATAACAGACTTATGGATTTAACATGAATTTTTAGTGTCATTGAGTAAATAATGATATTTCTTGTGTTAAATACATCAAATGTGGTTAATGAAGTTATTCAAGTTTTACACCTAAGATGATATACATCATGAATAGAATATAATATGATATGAGATATTATTTAATAGATGACATTTATCCATATTTTACCACATTAACTATTTTAATAATAAAAGGAAAAAAATTAAAAATTAGTTTCTTAATAACAAAAGTAAATTAAAAAATATGTTAAACATGTATTTTGAATCCTTCAACCTCAATTTGAATTATACATTGTTTAACACAAATTTAAATATCCATACCATAAAAAATATAATTTATGCATATATTATATAATATAATAGTTAATAATGAATAATATACTTATTAAAATCATATTAAATATTAATGTATTTTTTAAATTGTCATTCCAAGTAAATTTATAAAATAAACTAATAATTTAATATAAAAACACTCACCTCAATAAAACATATTTAACAAAAATTTAGAAAAGAATAATAAAAAATAAATTTATGTAACATATTTTCTAATATCATTTATTTTTATTATTGCATATTATCGCCTATTTGCTATTATTATTATTATTATTATTATTATTATTATTATTATTATTATTAAAATATTATTTTATATTATTAATTAAAGTAATTAATTTTATATAGAAAATTTAATTAATTATTTATAGGAAAATGATTTAATTATTAATGAAAATATTTTTTATATAAAAAAATAATTAAAGTTTAATTAATCAACATTATAATATATAAATATAAATAAAAAATATATAAAATAATAATAAATTACTTAAAATTTATAATTTTTACAATT